TTCAAAGGTAGGACTAAAGGTTTGACGACCTAGTAAAATACAAAAGAAAGAGTGGCGTGTTGGAGTAGGATAATGCCCCATTACAGCTCAAAGGAGACGTCCACTATTTACAACCAAAGCTGGTAGACATAAGAGAGATTCTGATCAAACAATGTGATACTATCAGAGCGACCACTGTGGCCAATTTCTAGACAATAGCCACATCGGAGGATCTGCTAGAAGTTAGAAGTACAGATAATGGAGAAAAGCCTCATGTTTGACGTTGGGTAGGTGTAAATATTATATTTCCATATTCTATAAATTAAAAGTGGTGTAAATATATTTTTATATGTATGTAACTCTACATTTTTTTTCTTATTTTCTGTGTAGGGCGTTGTGTAGATGTTTTGTTAACAAGGGTTATTTTACATAACATTCTAATTTTTTCCCCATTTATTAACATAGAATAAACTTGATCCTTTTGTTGTTGTTGTAATAAGTTTATTCTATGTTTTGTTTAATCTGTTTCTTAGAGAGTTTTTTTTTTTGTATATGCTTCTTGCATTTTGTAAACGTAATTTTATTTAATGAGTAAAGAGTAAATTTCTTTAGTAACTTGTATGCTCTGTCAAGTAATTGGAAAAAAGTTATACTAGTTAAGGTACCCGAACTTCGTTTACATCTTAAAATGCTATTTTGCATTTTGATATTTGAATTTTTGCATTAATTTATTGCTTTTTGTTATTTTTTTTGTGTGCAATTCCACGGTTGAAGTGAACTGGTTTTATGTATCACTCTTAAAGTCTGTTTTTCATGTTAACCATTAAATGGTAATTTTTTTTATAAGGTTCTAAGTATGTGTAGTTGTATAGTGAGATTTGATTTCGCGTTAAATTGCGATTGTAAAGTGTATTATTTCATGTTAAAATGCATTTATTTTGATTAATCCTTCTTTAAAGGTCTTTCTTTATGGTATTTCTTTGTTAAAACGTTTTTCTCAGTGTGCTTGCTTCTGTGTTTATTTTTCCATTATATGTAGTGTCATTGTTAAAGGGCCTTGTTTTTGTTTTATCTGTCATTTATGTTCGTTAAAGGGTTCTTTTAATGCATAAATTTGTATTTAAAGTTTTCGATGGTTTCCTTTATTAAAGGGTTGTAATGTCTGTGTGACGTGCAAATGTTTTCAAAGGAGAAAAAGTTAACACATTTCCTGACTGAGGTGCAACTTTAATGATTATTGGTTTTAAAGGTAATATCATCAGCTTGAGGACAAGTATGAAGTATAGAAGAGACGAAAGTGTGGCATATGAATATATAAAAAAATGTCTATCTTCTTGTGGTATTATATATTCATTCTCTATATGTGCAAGGATGTTGATAGCACTGCCCTTCAATGTTCGTTTAGGTGATATCTCGAGGTTACGGCCTCACCTAAGTTTGAATGAGAATGACCAATCACATGGGTAATGTTAGTTGCTCTGGGTAAATATGATGTTTCTTGCAAAGTAAGGAATGCTGGATTTAGTCAGTCTAGTACCTGGATTCAGCTTGAGTAGCTAAAGAAAAAAGGTCCAGTAAAAGTGATTATCCCTTGTCAATGAAACAAGCAAACACACACACACAAAGACTGTGTTTGTGTTTTATGTGTGATATAATAAAAATTGTTAATTTTGTGTTTCACTTTCTACCGAGTTTCTGTTCTGTATTTAATCCATTCTCAAAACTTGGTTACTCAGAGATATAGCATTACTTTGGACAAATCTCCTATCCCACTGCTCTAATGTTTATTCATTTTCATCTGAATATACCACACCTAGACAAAGATTGCCTACCACACAAGTTGTTCCATATGGCTGATACTTGTTTGGATCTGCTTCTGTGTCACGCCTTCATTGGATGGGTCTTACCAACTTCAAAGAATGGTACTAATACTATAAAAACTGGTATGAGTTGAGGGGTTTATATCCCAAGAATATATTTAATGGGAATGGTCAGTGTAGGTAATCTATGTATAAGCCTTATCGACTAATCATAATGGCATGTAACCTTTGTTCACGCTAGAGAATTACTGCAAGTTTACAGCGTGTGTTATTTCTTTTTTTATTTTTGTTCTTGTCTATTTTCTGCACAGAGATTTTTGGTATTTAACCTATTATCTACTCCATCAAATCAGTGATGGCTCACAGTTAATACTGAGGAGGAGGACGGCAATATTTTAACCACAACGCCAAAGATAGAGAAGAGTAAAACATCTATTTTTTTCAGGCATTTCAATTTATTTATACATGAATTCGAGGCACTGGTCTTTCATCATGCCAGGCAAGGTCATCTTAACTATTGTTTGAGTTGCAAAACTCCAAAATTACCTTCAAATCAAGACAAATCGCCACACTTTTTTAACCAGGTCACTGCACATCATTTAAAGAAACTCACTTTCAATTGTTTATATCATTTTATAACACTAAAAAAATCACATAATGTTTAAAGTTGTACCAGCCCTTGATTGCCACAACCTCCTCATAGTTGCAAACTTTTCTCAAAATATTTTTCATTGGTTGTTTTTACAATCGAAATTCTGATTGCCTCCATTAGCTGTGGGTCCCATCTCGAATTCCTTGTTAAACACGAAATTAGACTTGGGTTCTCTTGGCTGTTTCCCTTGCATCATAGATAAACTGTACAAATAACAACAACAACAACAACAAAAGCCGAGAGACACAATCACTCTCTGCCTCATGCCGCTAGATGTCACCTCGATGAATGGCATAGGGTTAGGGTAAGATTTTTGAGCATTTTGCTACAAAAATGCTTTTCAAGCAATTTACATCCAAAACAATGTTTCTAACACATCTTTAATTAGTTATATTGCTTCATGTTTGTTGTGGATCATTACAAAAGCTTCAAGGATAACTTTATTGAAACCATGCAGTGTATTTAATATCTGAAAAAAACCCCGTCCCCATAGATGGCTGTATCTAGTTTCAAATGGTTAAGATTAATTGGTAAAGATGTAAGATATTGTGGGTTTGAGCAATAAAAGTTTCCATTAAGCTATTTATCATATACTATACGAGAGTTATAAATAGTATGTCCTACTTCCGTGGATACTTCTAAAATTAACACAAGATCTCTTCGTATGCAATAAAAGACTTCTTAAGGTAATTAAATATTCGCCAACTTTTACAATACGTCTATTTGACCTAACACCAACTCACCTCTTAACATTATGAAGATGTGCAGAGGAAATTTAAAAGGTGAGTTGGTGCTAGGTCACTGAAGTATCTGCCAATGACAGAACCTTTCATTATGAAGATGTGCAGAGGAAATTTAAGAGGTGAGTTGGTGTTAGGTCACTGAAGTATCTGCCAATGACAGAACCTTTCATTATGAAGATGTGCAGAGGAAATAGAGGTTCTGTCATTGGCAGATACTTCAGTGACCTAACATCAACTCACCTCTTAAATTTCCTCTGCACATCTTTATAATGAAAGGTTCTGTCATTGGCAGATACTTCAGTGACCTAACACCAGCCCACCTCTTAAATTTCCTCTGCACATCTTCATAATGAGAGGTTCTGTCATTGGCAGATACTTCAGTGGCCTAGCACCAACTCACCTCTTCAATATCCTCTGCACATCTTCATAATGAGAGGTTCTGTCATTGGCAGATATTTCAGTGAGTGTTTCTTCCATTATTTTCAGCTCTTCACTACGTGTAAGCTTACGTTTAAAAGTTTTCCATTTCTATAAGCAAACAAAAGTAGATAACCAGCTAAGTGATTTGTATGAGAACACACCATTTGCAATTTTTCAATATACAAAAATTACCTGTACCATAAGTACAGAAGGAAATTCAAATTCAGGGGAATTCAAAAGTCGCACACCACCATTTTTTTTCTAAGCCCTGCACCAGAGTCATACCAAAAGCAGTAAGAGTGGTGTGCCCGAAAAGAGTGCCGACCTGTAGGGAGAGCGAGTTTGCCACTTTGAAGGTAAGGATATATATATATATATTTTTTTTTTTGGAGGAGTGGAAAATTTATATCTCGCACAGGGCGCCATCAACTATCGGTACAGCCCTGCACCAAGACACGTCACCCTGTTGCTCAGGCTGTACCTCATGTTTGGTAGCATTTCGACGTTATGCAGGATGTTGCGATTCTCTGCTTCAAATCTTCCATGCTACTGATCGTGTGATAAAAAATGTAATGGTTTAACATTATAATAACCTGCGGGATACCTACATACCAGTATCATTTCCACACAAAATCAATAACACCCCAACCAATTATTATAACAAAATAAAAATGAGATAGATAGACAGAAGAAAAATCATAGCATGGGTAGAACTTAGAAATGTAATGGTGGTGCTTGAATTTTGTTAAATGTAAAATTTTTTAAATGGTAATTGTGATGAAAAGGTGATATGTCATAAAACACATACACCTATATACATGGGAATAAAATACTTTTTATGCCTTGTGGTACAAACCCCTGTATCATGGTAAATTGAAGAAGTGAGTTTTATCCTTTAAGCATAAATTTTAGTGAACAGAAATAGTCAAAATGACATAAGTTTTTAGTCGCGCTTTAAAAATGAACTATTATTTTCAATTACCTTCTTCGCGAAATTCACAATTTTATTGCTAACTTCATCTGTTACAGGTTCCATCTTCACCTGGGAATAGGTGTCGTTTATAATTGCCAGGAACATATTCTGTACAAAGTAAAGAGAAAGATATTTGACGTGTACTGGCAAAGAATTGGTAGAGGTAATCGTTTGATGCATCATTTAACAATTAAAACTCTCTTTTCTTTGGACTAATAGCAACTACCATCTAAGGCATCACAATAACAAGTACTCCACTTTGAACTAGTAGTAGCAATGTTTACTTTCTAACGAGTCCATTGTGATAATAAACGTACTTCTCTTTGAGCAACCACTGGATACCTTCTGATGTATTACATACTAATCAGAGCAGTTTGGTAATTTTATAATAAGAATGTTCTTTGAACTAAGAATGGCTACATTAAAATTTATTTTTGAATAAAATGAACATTTCCAATGGCCAGTGGCTTCTTTCAAATACGTCACTCAGTAACATCAACTAACAGTGGCTATCTTCTAATAAGTCAGTTTAACAATAAGAATACTTATTCTTGAACTAACATTGGCCAGCATCAAATGCATTACAATAATAATAATTACCTTTGAACTAACAGAGGTTACCTTCAAATGCATCACTCAGTAATAAGAATGTGTTTACTGTGTCATTGAATAATACCAAACATACTTCTAATTAAAGAAACGTTGGTTACCTTCTAAAAATTAAAAATAAAACAAAGTTCTAATTGTATAAGCACTGTCTACTTTTCCAAATCACACTTCTTCACTATTTGCTGATTTTTCAAAGCCAGTTCCCTTGGCTGTGGTTTCGCATATGTGTTTTTTTAGTTTTAAAAATAAAACAAAGTTCTAATTGTATAAGCACTGTCTACTTTTCCAAAGGTCATGTAATAATAAAAATACGTCTCTCTGAATTATTTAATGGATTCTTCAAATGTGACTCTTAAGAATATAAAGCACTTAATGATAAAAATAATTTCTTTCAACTAGAAGTAGCTATCTTCAAGTATAACACTTAATGAAAAAAATTATTTTCTCTGAACTAAAAGTGTTTTCTCTGCAATGTATGACTTAATAATAAAAAATGATACTTTTCATTAAGTCAGTTGTGGCTAACCTGTCATAATTCACTTAATAATAAAACATTTCATTTTGAACTTCTAGTAGCTAACTTCTAACGTATCTAATCGTTTAATGTGGTAATCAGATGTATTTCAATGTTAACATTACATTTACTTCCATATCTTATATATATCGTCTAATTATTTTCGGTCTGCTGTGATTACGTTTTAATTTATATTGCTTATGATTTTATTTGATTTTGTGTTTTTTTTAATTTAGTTTAGTTTTACAGATGAATTATTTTCACTCTAGTTTAATCCATTTGAACTCCAATTTCATTTTTATTTTATATTTATGCTGTTCATTCATTTAATTTTGTTCAGTTCTTATATTGCATTTGGTCTTATTTATTTTGCAACCCTATTTAATTGATTATCTTTAAAGATGACATTTTTTTGCAAATTTTATTTCAATTACTGTTTAGTTCACTCCATCTTATTTCGTTCATTTTATTTCATTTTTGATACTGTTGGCATTATTTTATTTTGTTTCACTGACTTCTGAAGGGTAGGGGGTTAATAAATTTCTTTGTTATGTGAGTATGTAAACATAATGACATCATTCCTTTGGTCTTTTTATTATATGTTGTTAATCGTAAGGTTACACAATGGTCTATTTGTGCTGTGTCCACCACAAGTATCGAAACTTTATTTTTAACATCATAAACCATTGACTTACTGCTGTGCCAATGGGTGGTTCCTGTAGTTAAAATAAGTGATTACAGGAAGTTGCAACTCTGTTAGTTAACTTTCAATTCAGCCTAAAGCCTTTTAGTGTTTAGCGTTATGGTTCAGGCTTGGGAAAAACTGGGATAATGAAGGAAAAGTTATCGTTGCTATAAGAGCTGTAATATTTTACTCTTACATAGATATAGATAGAATATATCTTTAAGAGTTTCATTTCGAGTTTACTTATTGATTATAAAGATTATTTTATTACAAGTTACAGCTTTTACAGTACCCGTTTTAAAAGTAGTCTTCCTTACTGTAGAACTGTAACTTGTAATAAAATATATCTTTATTTACGTATATTCGTGTAAAATTTTCTTAATTATCGTATAGGAGTTTTGTATATAGTTAGCTAGCATTCTTGTAACTAAGATATAGAAAGTTCGTAACTTTGCATTAATCCTCTAGCTCATATTTGCTTACTCCAGTTTTGCATTATGTTATCCTGGAGTGCGGTTGTACTCATTTCAAGGGCTGGTATAGATATATATGTATAAGCCCTGTTTTTGCTTATACATATACACCTATACAGAGCAATGGGCTATCTGAGCACTGTCCATGGCTGGGAACTGAGCCTCAGATTTTATCATTGTAAGTCCGCAAACTTACTGGTCATCCAATAGGAGGCATCTACAAGCCAGTAAGAATTGGTATTTTAACTCTCTTTGGTATGATTATTGATGTAGGTAACCTAGGATTGCTAGATCGTTTGATCTGATTGGACACAGTGGTATTAAATACAGAAGACTGAGTATGTTGTATTATAACGATATTGACTATACAAATCAGCAAGTCACGTTACAACCGCTACCAATATAAAGAATTTGTGGAACTTCATTTATCAGGGCAACATTTTGGCATTGCTTGGCATTTCATAGGTAGTACGATGCCATTGAAAATTGTCCACTTTTGGATTGGGTATGTAACACCTCTTTTGGACACAAACTTTTTATAAACTCTGATCGTAAAGATGCGTTCAGGTTGAGGATTTAGAATTTCCAATACTGTGATATCCCTTGTAAAAAAGGAATATGAATCAACTTAGGACACCAGAACCATCCAGAAAGAGATATGTAACAAGTCAAACCTAGCCATGATGACCAAAGTGCAACGTCTTGTAAGAAGTGATAGTCCACAAATACAAAAGTCAGTGGCAAACAACTTCCATGTTCCCAAGGCAATAGTACACAACATAATAAAGAAGGATCTCCATCTGGAAACGAGGCCAACAGGGTATGGGTTCACCAATATAAGGTTTCCAGACACATACCTTGATCAGCTGGAGAATGGAAAGGATAATCATATTAATTCAAATGAAGACATCTACTGGTCAAGTCACCAGTTGCAGTGCCAAGGGATTTATGTGTGATCGGACTATTGAAAGGATTGCTGAGAAACTAGATGCATTATAGAAGACCTATATGGAGGAATGATAAGCTTTGAAAATGAAAGCCTTACAACGGAACCTTTTGGAACGGAAACTATACTAAAGGGTTATTGTCAGAATTCATAGTCATCAGTTAGAACATGAACTCACGTTGAAACGTCGACAAATTCATTTTAATATAACATACTCAACCTTTGTAATACAACATAAAAATAAAAACACTTCTCCTTGAACCATTAGTGTCAACCTTCCAATCTATGACTTAATGACTAAATTAGCAGTGACTAACTTCTAATAATTAATCGTAATAAAAATATTTCACTTTGAACTAGCAATGGCCAATATCTACTGTACTTACAATACTTTTATTTATAGCAACTTGACACTTAATAATAAAGACTCTTCTTTTTGAACGCAGAGGTAACTTTTTAATGATTCACAGGATAAAAATAATAAGTTTTCTTTTACCAAATATATAGTGATAATTTTCCAAAGTGTATCTTATTAATGAAACTTTATTACTGAACAGCAGTGGCTGCTTTCAATATAACATTTAACAATAAAAACACTTAATATTAACTGTGGATAAATTCTACATTGTCACTTGATAAAATAAGATACTTTTCTTTGGACAATCAGTCACTGAGAGAAACAAAATAAACATCACATAATAGAAAACTAACTTTTTGAACTAGGGGTGGCTACCTACTCATGTATTATGTAATGATAAAATGCTTCCCTTTCACGTAGTGGACGTGGCTACCTTCTAATGTATCTCAATAACACAAAACTTCTCTTTGAAGTAGAAGTTGTGGCTTACATTAGAAGGTTCTCAATAACACAAAACTTCTCTTTGAAGTAGAAGTTGTGGCTACCTTCTAATGTATCTCAATAACACAAAACTTCTCTTTGAAGTAGAAGTTGTAGCTACCTTCTAATGTATCTCAATAATAAAAAAACTTCTCTTCGAAGTAGAAGTTGTGGCTACCTTCTAATGTATCTCAATAACACAAGACTTCTCTTTGAAGTAGAAGTTGTGGCTACCTTCTAATGTATCTCAATAACACAAAACTTCTCTTTGAAGTAGAAGTTGTGGCTACCTTCTAATGTATCTCAATAACACAAAACTTCTCTTTGAAGTAGAAGTTGTAGCTACCTTCTAATGTATCTCAATAACACAAAACTTCTCATTCAACTAGAAAAAGTTATCTTTGGACTATCAACTAGTAGCTTCTAAAGTGTCTCTTAATAAAAATAATACTTCTCTTGGAATTAATTTATGCTTACTCTCTAAAAGTCGCCTGATAATAAAAACACCCCTCTTTGATCTAACGGTGTCTAACTTCTAAGGCGTCAGTAATTACAAACATTTCTGTTTCGACTTGAAATGGCTATATTCTAATGTCTCGGACTCTTTTTTTAATCCAGTAGTTGCTTACTGAAATGTATCATTTAATAAAAACATCAGTTGCTAATTCAAATGCATCACTTAATAAAAACATCAGTTGCTAATTCAAATGCATCACTTAATAAAAACATTTGTCTTTGAAGTAACAAAGCCTAACTTTAATACCACTTAATAATAGGAATATTTATCTTTAAAACATAAGTAACTATTTTTGATGTGTCACATAATGATAAAAGCACTTCTCTTTGAATTAGGAGTGACTAGCTCTAATGTATAATATAACTTAGAAAACAAGAGTATTTGCTAAATTTTGTCTCGTGTTTTACCACCATCATATACATAACAGCTACTTGACTAACAACTCACCATCAGGATGAAGAAAACAATAAACACGTAGGAGAGAAAGAAAATGGGACCAAGCACTCCGTGAATTTCCTCCAACGCATAGAAATCAAAGTCACCCAAAAGAACTCGTAGTAATGTGAATCTGTGAAAGTAATATGTATTCATGCATGATAAAATACATTGGTCTACGCTCCCGCCAAAAAAAACTGGGAACTTAAAAAATAAGTACATTTATCGAACAGTTGTCAGTAAAACTTCATACTGTGAGGAATAATCGTTGAAATATCTTAATACAGCAATGCTAGCAGGTTATCATAAGCATTAGGAAATATAAACTGAAATTGTTCAATATAAATATTCTTCAAAGAAACACAAAAACTATTATATTAACAGATGTATGTAGACCAAGAAATTGTTCAATATAAATATTATATTCTTCAAAGAAACACAAAAACTATTATATTAACAGATATATGTTTAACTACTTACTGGAATTAAAATAAACCATACACTAAAACTTACGTTACATGTATTTATAGATAAACTGTATTTAAAATAATTATGACTTACGATAAGAAAAAAAAAGGAAATACGACAGGAATGCCTAATTTTAGTGTGCGATAATGTACTGCACCAACCTACAGTCACACAAAAAAAGTACGTAGTAAAGGCAGTCATACTATGCCCAGTAATAGTATTGTGATTCCAGGCTTGAAATATCACATAACAAACATGCAGAAATTCAAGTTTTACTTGATCAAGGATACTCAATGTGAAGATTTGTGGCAAGACACTTAAGAGTTGTATGCAAGACTTTAAAGAGTGTACATAAAACTGGCACTCTCTATAAGTGGTATTATGTATCTTAGGGCATGTTTTTATGAGATAAATGATGGTTTTCCAAACAACATTACTGTAACACAGGTGTGAATGCTACCTCGAGATACACAATAACACGAAGTGTGTGGCTGCTTCAAAATGGCTGCTGAGAAGAAGTAGCCGAAACAAAAAGGTTAAAATAAACAAGAAACAGTGGAATGAGGAAAGCTGGAGACGAGTGCTCTTTATATATATGAATTAGTTAGCAACAATCAGACGTGGAGAAAAAAAGATACCATATTCAATGTTCATTATTTATAGTTAAAGACGGTAAGGAATACATACAAATTTGAGGATGTGCGTCAGTGATCTAGAGAAAATTGATGAAATCCTGACTGTTGAAAAGTACCCGCAGATTCTGATCCATCACACCATTTCCTCGGGAACAAGACTTTTCAAGCGAGGATTCATCTTTCAGTAAAACAGTGATCCTAAGCATATAGCAAATGTGGTGAAATGGCACGTTGATAATAAAAAAGGCTGACGGAACACTTACAGCCATGACTTGGCTTGTATAAAGTCTCTATATGAATAATACTTAGGCTATATGAGCTTATCAGAAGGCCACCAAACAACTTGATTAAATTGTGGGAAGTCATACAGAATATTTGGAATAATATTTAACAACAACAACACATTGATAAATTGTACACATGTGAACAAAGTGTAACGCTCAGAACAAAGCAAAGGGTCGTGTTTGTATTCAAACAATAAGTAGCTGTGGCTTAAGTGAAATATGTCTTAATCATTAAATTATGCCTGATGTAAACTGAAGAAGCGAACTTCAGTTGAACAAAAACAAAAAATGCATCAAAACATGAAGAAATGTATTATTTGTAAATAAACTAGTTGTCTAAAATTATCTTACTTAAAATAAGGTAAAGGGAATAACTATTTTCGAAAATGAGCTTGTGACAAACAAAGGTAGTAGATGAAAACTACTATGTTTTGCCTAGCTATCAAGAAAATAATACAGGATGTTCAAGGCCTTTAGAAACATTTTTGAAAACGTATATCAAGAAAACCGTTTAACATAGAGACACGCGGTTTATTGCACATGCAACGATGAGGTGCAAAGTTAGTTTTTTTTTTTTTATACCAAGTGAACATGCGATAGACAGTCTGGGCTGCAGTCACGCATAACACTATCTTTGGGCTTTATTTTGTTTTTTGCAGAGCAACTGTCACAGGAAAACGTACCTTGACATGCTGCAGAATTTTGCTTTGTCACAGTTGGAAACATTACAAACTAACGTGCTAATCCAGAGCAGGACGGTGCCCCACCACACTGTTACGAGTAAGGATGATTTGCAAAACACTGGGCAGGAGATGGGTAACATACTGATCGTTTTGAATATAACACATAGTGCAGATGTTGAATTATGGTTATTTTGTACCTTTGTGTTAAATGGTTTTCCCGGTATGATATATGAAAAGTGTTTCCAACATTATTGGCCACCCTGTATATCGTTGTTTAGGCATATGTTTTATTTATTTTTGTTTGTATGAATATATTCTACAGTTAGTTAATGTCCTCCTGACATGATGTGAATAGCCATAAACATGTATTAATCCTTTCCTCAGTATAAGGCTATCCTACGGTGCTCATTACATAGAGCATATACTTTCTATCGTCAGTTGCAAGTTTAAATCATGGACACTGTGTAAAATTCAAAGCCATTACAATAACAATGACGATGAATTAGATGAGTGATAACAATTATATTTATGAAGGAAAACATAAACAACCTATAAGGAGCTTTGAGAAGAGTAATTGAATGACTCAGACATAACTTGAGTAATGATTGTTATGCAACGAGGTGAAGCAAGAGGACTTACGACATGGTTGATTGATACGTTATCTGAAATAAAGTGGTATTCCTTATTTTTTGAGTTATCATCTAGTGGTTAATGGCAGAACACGTGTAGGACATTTGGTCATAATTACTCATTACAGAGCAGTTAGAATGGTTTATTGAGTGATAAATCAACAGTTTAAAGGGAGTTTCAATCATTATTTTTGGAATTATTGAAGAAATATTTAGCAGTGAGTTGTCTTAAGAAAAGCATTTAATATAAATCTACTGAGTTTTAGATGTATTTTTGTGAAATATCCTGAATATGATAATTGCTAGTTAAAATAACTAAAATTGCTGAACTTGTCAGTTAATATACTAGAACACTGGTGGTTAGTTTCGACTATCGGTGATTGTTGGAAACACTGTTAATATCAAAAGGCTGAAAGGACTTTTCTATTCTTGTTTATTGAGCACTTTGGTTAAATTTTGTTGCAGATGTTAGAGGGCAGTTAAGATCTGGATCGTCTATTATAGCGGAGAAAAGTAAAAAAGCGTCTTCACACGATAAGAGATTGAAATGTTGTATCTATACCGTACTTTCAAGTCAAACAAAAGTCACAGTTTGGTATTCCACAATCCTACATTACCTTCGTCAGTGATCTTCCCCCATTTTTACATATTCGAAAGAGAGAGATCCTTTCTCAGCTTATAATAACTTTTACAAACCTATTCACACCCCTCCCGTCCCACTTGTGTATGACTCATACCCCAGAAAAAAAAAAGACATATAAACATGGCCAAGAGCGTAGGTGCTTTATAGAAAGGCCACTGTGGTATATAACCTTTAGTCCAAGACGAGGATTAATGTAAGTTTACAGCCACTTATATCCTGTTCACAAGGATTTTACCGCAATGCAAACATCTTTAAAAGAAAATTTTGAGACATATTCCTGAATAAAGATTTGTCTCTAGTTATAGAAAGGTAAAATTTGTCAATTTTGGACAAAGCGATTGTAGTCGAAAAATTAGGGTTACTTATTGTTTCGCCATGCCTTTAAATAAACAGTGTCTTAAAAAAACCTAAAATTAATGTATTTAGTTTTGTCATAAACAATGTCTGAAACAAACTGTTAAAATTATTGTACCAGTATTTCAACAAATGATATCTAAGGCAAAATGCTTATATTGTTCAACCAAATTTTCCAATAAACGATACTTGAAAACAAAATTGCTAAGATTAATATACTAACTTTTTCCATAAGCCATATTTAATAGCAATTGAAATATTTTAATGAATGATATATATGATAAAGTACTACCATAATAAAGAACGTTAAAACATACTTCCAAGATTACAGTATCACATCTTTAATAAACAACAATTTAGACAACTTGTTTTCCAGTAAACGCTACTTACATTGAGTTACTGATAGAACTAAAGTCTATCAGATGAGATCCAAACATTAGGTATCCTAACTGGGCATATGCCAAAAACACAATAGAAAACATAACGGCGAAACCAACAAGGTCTTTAGCTCCCTGGAATTTATAATAAAAGAATAATAATAAACCTCACAAAAGAAAGAAAATCACCTTTTAAACATTATCTCAACTAAAAGCTCAGTTTTTCAGTAAACATTTCAGTTCGTACAAATAAAACTACGACTCTTTGCGTTTTATGATTAAACGTATTTTCAATAAAACAACATCATGGCAAAAGTGTTAAGCATTACTTTTTTGGCAATAACATCTATTAAGAGAGAAATAAATACAGCCCAAAACAGTGTTTAAGAAACATTTTACAAAAGTGTAAAAATCTACGAGGCTCTAACTGAAGCATGTGTCTTTACTTTAATAAACCTTTGAGGAGTGTTTGAGTTACTTTTAATTAGAGGTAGCGTAATATATTCTTATTTGTTAAAAAACAAAACAACTAATAACCTTTTGAAAGAAATATGCCAGCATGATAGGTGTGTGACTATGTCTTCAAAATATCTTAAATACAATCACCTTTTATGTGAAGTTATAATTTTCACTAATGTACTACCATTCCATGTTTATTAGGAATGATGAGTTACAATGGCTAGTGTGCTGGGTTTTAACCGTGATTTGCCGCTAGAAGCACTCTTACCTTTTATAGATGTTGGAATTATGACTGTGACCCTGGCGGAGCTAGATATCATGGTTTCCCTCCCTCTAATCAGCGATTATATGCCTAAACCTTGGGATAGCTGATCTGGCCATTCCGCCCATATGCCATATAAGGTGCCACTCAATTTGAAAATACTACTAAGAAATCCATGCATTCTTGAAAGAAAATTGGTTACGAAAATCCATTAAACAAAATGTGCTCTGTTATCCCAAGTTAAAATATAAATTATTTATTTCATGAATCAAGTTATACAATTATAAAAATACACTAGGTCTTGGTTGGTAGAACACAAGACAATTTCAGTGCTGCAGGTTGAGCAGTTTTTCCTAGAACTCTGGAAACAAAGTTTGAGTTTCTCTTTTTAACATTTCAGCGTCATTATCATGTTTATGCAACCGCTAGCTTACCAGATAGAGCACAAAACCATCTGAGGTTGAAGGTTTCACGCTCTTTATCTCACAGGATGGAGGGTTATCTGCATATGATAAGAGTATTGGTCTCAGAGCACTAATGTGAGCTTGTCTAGGGTTCACAACCCAGACAGGTACTTTTAACATAGTTCTAGACTGGGCAAACCTTGTGAGATATTACTGAGATTATGGCCAAAAATACTGTTAATAGAGTGTATACCTAAATGATGAAACAACGCATTGCTATAAATTAAATAAGAATAGTGCTTTTAATTAACTATACCCATTATTGGGTTGATGTTTACGTCTGGTTATATGTAGGTAACTTGATTTGATCAGACGCTAATGTTAATTAACATACACTTGTAGTTTCATGGTGATAAATGGGCTTATTTGTTTCAGAATGTTTGTGCAACGCAACACAGAGGGCTACTATGCACATTGCTGTACCTAATTTTGAAATAATATACCAGAGGGAAGGCAGCTACCCAACAATATCCACCATAAACTCTTGAGATACTCTTGTTTGAATAAACAGTGCGATTTGACCACCGTTCTTATATTTCATCCACAGCCCCAAAGTGTAAGATCACATATTTTGTGCAAATAGGATGTGAACAGGAATCCTTGGACTTACTGTCTGGGCACGCGAGCCACTAGGGCACCCCAACATAGATGGTGAATTGAATTATTCAATGTCCTCGGAATTATGTTTCATACTCCATCAACTGAATTATTCTGGGTGTTGAAACACGTTTTAACTCCACGTTTGGTACTAAAAGATTACTAGTGATTATGATAACTCTTTGAAACAATTCCTCATTAAACATAGAGTGTAAAAAATCAGAAATAGGTGAAAAGAAGCTTTCGTGAGCGGAGCTTGAATCCGCGATCCCTAGGTTACAGTAGTACTCTGAGACTAAGGCACTTACAAACGATCAGGGCCCAAGTTCGAAGCAGACAATTCTCTCTATTGAGCATTAGATATTCCTCAACTCCCGTTGATTTCAACGGATTTCTACATCCAAACTAATCTCCATCACTTGTGCTTGTGCAATTGTTTAAACTTACTTTTAGTATTAATAATTTATAAGGAAAATTTAAGAAATGAGAGTTAAGCATCCGGTGAGTTTTCTTTATATTTATCTAAAACACATGTAACATAGAACTGTTTTATCTATATTCTGTTTACAGTTCTTAACCATCTAGGGCCTTTCAAAGCAGAAGCTAACATTTCTGAAAGCACCAAAACTGCTTTCATTATCTACATTCTCTCTTCAGCTGACCATACGCAAATAGGAATGCAGAAACCTGAAATTTGAAGAAACACGTGTGCTTTCGGAATACGAAAGTCAGAATACGCAATTTGTTGACGTATACATTTATATTATATTAACAAAACAATAACAAACGACTACAGTCATAACTCTTCAATCAATTTAACATGTACACAGATAATTCAGTACCATTTTACACTTAAAAACATAAGTTTGAAATGTTCATGTGTAACAATCTAGAAATTAATTAAGAGAATGATCCAAGTTCTGATATAGAAATACAAAAACTACTGTTAAACTATTTTCGTCTTACTCTGGATAAAGTGAAGGACAGCTGCATCATGGTTTTGTTAAAACTAATGTACTTGAAGACTCTAATCCAGGAGAGAAAGATGGTGATAGCGATGGTATAGTTATACATACTCTGACCAAAGCTGAGTCCGTGGAAGTCTGGAAAATTCTGTGGATTAGCCAGCAAGCTTTGCAGCAAAGAGCCTACTGTAAGAGTACGGTAGATGCTGAATACAATGCAGTTAATCGAAGCCTAAGGAAAAGAACAGTTAGCATATGCTGACGTAATAATAATATTTTACACATAGTACGTAAGTGTATAAAACGATAAGCTGTTTCACATTTTCTTCTAAAGCTATAAAAAGTTTTCCTTCAAATATCTTTGATATCTAAACATTATCTGTTAAGATTATCTTTCAGAGATAATCTCCTGTAATTAATTAAAATAACAACTTTTGGAATTTTGTTTTAACAATTACCAGAACTACTGTTGAGTAAACTGGAATTGACGGTAACTGCCTGTTGTAAAAACACAAGTATAGAGGACGACGTTTCGGAAATCTTCCGTCTTCAGGTACATAGATTTTCTACACGTCCTCTACACGTGTGTTTTTACAACAGGCAGTTACCGTCCATTCCAGTTTACTCATCATGAATGCTCTGCCTAAACAATCTGTCACAGAACTACTGTTGTTAAACTGTTATGAGAAAACAGGACATCGCATGCACAGAATAGAATAGAGTGGATACAAGTTTCAAAAAATATAGTATACTTACACAAAGAATTAGTAGATCAAATATATTCCATACGTTTTTTAGATATTCTAATTTTTGATGGTAGAGCTGAAAATAATTAAAATATGATAAATTAGAACCCCTTTTAATACGTTAGCTACATATCTAAAAATATTTAACTGAGTGATGAACAAATACTTAAGATTTATTAATAAATATAATAAAATATTTCATTCATAACAAATATTAAGTTTTTGTCTATAAGATGTTTTTCATAAGTTAATGAACAAACGGGGTTAATCAAGTTTGCAAAATGGAGTAAGTTTATAGTAGATGTAAGTTATATAACGTAATAAAAATTCAGTTGATACAAATAAATAAATCTTTTCAATTTGATGTTTTTAAGAAACCAGTTGCAACTGCACTACTGTGCATGAGCAACATTTTCAATATGTTAAGAAATTAAGTTCTCTTTAGAACAAAGTGTATTCACAAATTCATTTCAGATTCATTTTCAAATACTTTTTTAGAATTAGAAACTTATTTCAGTTTAAAAACGAGATTCCCAAGAACAATTAATCATTCATAACTTGTATGTTCATGCGTCATTTCTGTGCAAAGTAATACATTGGATTTGTCACCAAATAGTTGTTTACTTATGTAAAAAGACTCATTCAAAAACCATAAACTTTGGAATCAATATATCGTTGCTCAGGAAGTCTCGACAAAAAGCAATATCAGGGTTAATACTAACAATTTCATTATAATTATGGGGCTGAGGGTGAATAGGATCTAAACATTCGTTAAAGTCTGGTGATTGTTAACTTAAATCCGCCATTAAAACCATTTATCCATTTCTCTTAAATGGTAAGGTTGATCCAATTTTGAATACCAGTACTAACTTGCTTAGCATTGTCTTTTGGACTTGAATAAAACTGTTATGATCACATGGACCAGTCAAGTTGATGAAGTAATTGTATTGGTTGCAACTGTGGTATTCCTGGTTTTCAAGGTAAACTAATCCCACACAAGAAGAGATTCGAATATTTGATTGGAAGGAATGTTAATTTGAGAACAAGAGCAAAGTGGAAGAAGCAAACAAATCTGATGAACAAAACTAAGTGCACGATGTCTTACGTTCAATAATTGTCTTACATGTTTTCCAGGTTCAAAAGGGTGAAATTAAAGTAAATTTGACATGAAAATAACATATTATAATGCACGGTCGACATTTACAGTGTGAAAACGTGGTATATAATTCGTGTCTATGAAATATTTGAATTCTCCTAATTTCTAAAAAGCTAAATCTGTTCGAGATTATGTGCTAAATTTGACCGCGTGTGGTATTTCGGTCAAGTAAGCTATATACTGTTGTGTCTTTTATCTCTTTTGTTAATGTTAGACTGCCTATAAAGTGAAAATACCTCTAAATTATTTCGGTACTATTTACAATTGATTAATTATTGCTTGTGGATTGTAGAATAATTTTTGCGATTTCCGAGACGATAGCTTTTACTTTGGAAGGATGTGGTAAGATTCTGTTCTATTAGATTCTATTGTTAGGCGTGTTCTTTTGGAATATGCAACAATAAAATAAATTAAATTCAAAGTCTAATCAATTTGATAATAGTGAAATAATTTTATTTTTTCGACTACAAGTTTTACAAGTTACCTCCACTAATGTTCACTGATAGGCCTAAGTTTACAGTAAGTGCCAATACAACAATTTTGCTTACTTGCTAACTTCTCTCGTAAGTATCTCTGTTTTCTCTGTCGAAACACAAACTCAATATTCACAAAACTGAACAAACAGACATACTAACAAACTCGTTGACTCAGTAATTATTCATCTATTGTATGAGACTCACAAATCAATCAATCACTAGAGCATAACACATTTTTACTATTCAAATCATTTCATAAACTTTCAGAAAGGTTGTAGTCATTAAACCATGTCCATCATGTGACATAAAAAAACAACTTAGACATGCAATGATATTAATGCAAAATTTAAAAAAAGCATACATCACTCTGCCTTCCATTGCTTGTGAATTCCTTTAATAATCTTATCACATAAAGAAAACAATATTATATTTAACTTAAATTTCCATAATTAACAATAAAGGAACTCGTCAACATTAATATGATCAATATTTATAAATATTAACATTACAATAATAGTATCATTAATCATTTAAAATTCAGATTATTAAAACAAACTGGTCATTCTTTACTCATTTACCGTCCCTAAGCTGTGCAACACTAAACCTTTTCATAGTTTCATTTTCTATGGCTTATGATGAAAAAATAGGATGATCTTTGGCTTTTATTATCACTTAGCATCTTGTCACTGGGAGAATTCCCGTTAGGTGGATGATTGGGGGAATTCCATGGTGGCTTCATCCCTAGTGATACTTTGTAAGTGGTCTCAACAAGAACCTTGGTTTATTACCACTAACTTTCATTACAGTCGCGAATTTATTGTCCATGTGTTCCACAGTTTTCTCTTTCTGCCACTGTTTGGGAGCATATTTTGTTTCATAAAGAATTTTGGCTGGGATTCTTGGCAATGTATCATTTTAAGAAGTTCTTGACAGACCTACTGTTCTGTAGTTTCTTTCTTTTGTTCTCAGCAACCTGTTAACTGGTTCATTATTTCAGTTATTCTTGACTTCCATCAGAAACAATTAATGTTTCTGCACTATTTGATCTGATTATCTCATAATTCCTGGATGACGTCTTTAGATGTCTATCATAAGCTGAACAGTTTCCTTTAAAAATGTACATTTATTTTATTTTAGTCTAACCTGCTTACTATCTACCATCCATTAAAGCATTTATGAATTGATCGTATTCTTCGAATCCACCATTTCACGTGAAGCATCTGGATAAATGGGCAATTCTTTCTACGCCTTCCTGAAGTTTGTCTAAGGTTTCGTCTTTTCTCCTTACACTGCTTCTAAACTTTTGTTTAGAAACTCTTTTTTGATGTGATGCTCAAAATATGTTTGATAAGACATCCATCAATGGATGGTAGTCGTTATGACTCTCTGTAAGAAGGTTATTTAATGTTGTTCTCGCAGGACTTTGAATATCCATCAAGATGAATAGCTTTCTGTTCACTACCTTACTGATTTGCTTTGGAAATTATTTGAAATTGTACCTGACATGCCCCCTATGGTATTTTTGCACCATGGGCTGCTATTTTCTCAATTGGGCAGTTTTGTTGAATAGGCCTGCTCAGTTCCTTAACTTGATTAAATAGTAATGAATATCTTGCAGTCATCGGTGGCACAACAGAGTGACAGCAGGCGTAGAGCAGGTGGTTTCTAATATTTCATATTTCGTTGTTAATAGTGTTTGTAGTTGAAATTTTGGAGTGGATGCTGGTTTGATTTTTGCATTTGCACTTTATAGATGTTTTATGCAGACATCGAATTTCTTCTCTACATTTCCTACTGCTTTACTCTTATTATGATATTATCTTTTTGAACTTTTCCCACTATTACCTCTCATATATCAACTTTATATTTCTTTACACCTTTTTATTCTGATTCTGTTCTACTTATGTCATTACTTTACAACAATTGATTCACCAGTATTGTTACACCACACTTTGAACCATGCTTCTCACATTCTCTTTTTGTTACCTTTTTTAGTGATATTCGAATATGTTCTGTATATAAGACATTAACAGACATCACCAGAAGAAAGGTTTAGGCCCGAAACGTTGTGTCAAATTAAAGTTTTCCTAGATTTTATTACCACTGTATCTAGTGTTTTTATTTTATTTCTTAAACTTTGTCTTGCATCTTCTGTGCGATTTTATATGTTTTTGTGTCTGTATACATTAACAGTGTTGTAATGGTTACTAATGTTGCTCGAGTTCTTTTGGATTATTCAGTAAAATGAAAATGTAAAGTCCAGTCCACTTAATGATAATGAAAGTGTTATAATTCTTTAACTACAACTTTTAAAAGTTAGCTTGACTAACGTTCACTGATAAACGTAAGTACACGATATACATTAATACAAAAATATTATTTTTTTACCACGCAACGTTGTTGTTGTTTGTTATTAAGCACAAAGTTACACATCTATGCTCTGCCCATGGCGGGTATCGAAACCCGGTTTCTAGCAGTGTAAGTCCACAGACATACCGCTATGCCACTAGGGAGCCTACCATGAAATATCCTGGAAAGAAAGACCAGGTGCAGAAAACTGTATGAGCTGCACTTAGCTGGGGAAAACTGCAGTACGTGGTGTTACTTGACGAAGCGTATGTGTACTTTGATAATATCTTGTGCCATTTTACAGTGAGTGGAAAAAAAATCCAAAATATGGCACACGACATATTATTGCTTGACATGAGAATGGATACAGAGTTCAAGATAAACTCTGCTTAGTAGCAGAACAATAGTCTGTATTCTTTGAATCGTACAGAAATACCGGTTTATTACAGAAACAAGGTCAATAGGGTATTGGTTCACTAAGATAAGACTTCCAGTCAAACCTTCCGTTCAAATGTCGCATACCTCAATTAGCTGGAGAATGAAAAAGTTGTTCATATTATTTCATAAAACAAACAACTCTTACTGGATGCAGAGCCTATGGATATTTGCGGGATTGGACAGTTGAAACGGTCACTGTAAAAGCTTCAGATAGAGCAGGACCGGACATGGCAACATAAACCATAATAATATGGTGGGGCAAGAAACACCTGAAGACAGTTTCTGAAAATTGTAACCGAAGGCCTGTGAAAAAATAAACAAGAATTTTCTTTCTTTTAAAGTTAACAGAGTTATAACCCCTCAAACTCATTGTTGTGCTACCATCGGGCTTTTCTAGGAGCATATAATTTAATTGGGTCACCGTGAAACAAACAAAAATATATATAGAATTATCTCTGAATTCTGAAGTTTGAGCTCTTTTTCAAAACAGTATTTTAAGAAATATATTGTAAGTAATGTCTAAAATTACTAATATTCTACTTGACTTACCTCCTGTAACTCTTCTACAAAATAATACAGGGTGAAGATCACAAAGATGATTTCTAGTGCTGCAATAAAGATATCTTTGCTGCTGATATAACGAATCAACTTGGAAGTTTCAAAATTCCATGAAGGTATCATACCCCCAGTAGGTGGAAATTCAAATACCAACCTAAAAATATACAAAACGATATATATAATATAATACTCCCTGGTGGAAAGCTCAGTTTCTTGTCTTATCACTTTCATGTTTGTTTGCTTGTTGTAGAGCAAAGCCACATTGGACTATCTAATGTGTCTACCGCAGGGAATCGAACCCTTGATTTTAGCGTCATAAATCCGTAAACTTAACGCTATCCTTACCGGGGGACATCATTTTAAAATCAAAGAAAGTGTTACCCATCTGGTAGAAACGTAAACACCACCCTAATCATTTTCTAATTAAGGCCATGACAATACCGACTAAATACATTCCCTGATTAGAAGTCAATTGTAAGATTAAATATAATATTTCAGTAACCTATATTTGCATGAGTGTGAAATATGAACATATTTGTTCATGCTGAAAAACAAATTCTATACTATGGTCAACTGAGTACTGCAGTTTCAAACTATATCAACTCCTTTTTAGCCAACTCAGTGGTTCAAGGATAGTGAATGTTATCCAATGACCTTCTTGTGTCCTTTAGCTGTGGAAAACAGTTTGATGTCCCATGAGGGTTTACCTTAAGTACAAACAATCAGGCGCATCGTGACAGCAAGTTCTACTGAATGTATATCTAATGGTTTATATGACGTAACAATTAGCTTATTTACCTTATAACACAGAACAAGTTGACATTTGCATTGTAAACAGTAAAATCAAGGAAAACAGCTCGAGAAGCTTGATCAATCCACCGATACAACTTCAATTCCGTTAATATCTCTTCTGTTTTCGACCTATTGACCCCTAGGTCAACATAGAAACCTCCTTTTCCGTACCAGGCCAGCATCCCCCAGTAGTTGGATCCCCCCAGCTTTTCAGCACTGTTGTAATTCCACCTAGTAAACGAAATTATTCATCAAATTCCTGTGCAATGGTCTACTAATAACCAGCGACAAATCAACGTGCTACTGCCATCATTATTGCCATTTTAGAATATTGTATTCCATAAATTCGTAGCAACAAATAATTATTAGTTGGATATTTTTCCCTTTTTAAAGTGCCACAAACACACACACACACACATCTAGAATTTACTCATCACATTTTTGTTACAGTCAATTTTAAATCAACAATGAGTAAATATAGAACAGCTAAAAAACTCAATGTTGTATAAAGTAGTATGTAAATATGTATATAAACGTAGTTATTACGTCAATTAACAATACTAAAGCATGGAACTGGAGCAGTATTTTTATAAAGGTCTAGAAAAATTGCTTCTCATCTTCTTATTCTTCTTTTGTAATAAATGTAAGTATGTTTAATTTCATTATTTAAATACCAGTCTTGAGTAAAATGATTGGTTTATTTTGACATTTGTGACTACAAGCTAGAACACATCAACATTTGAAATATTAAGCAAACAACATCAATAAACTGTAAAAACACGGCGCTGAAACTAAGGTTTTTGTATTAGTAGATGGGTAAGTAAATATAAATGAGTCTCACAAAATACAATGTATTCAGGTATTTAATATACCGTATTTTTCGGAATATAAGACGCACCCGTATTTTGAAGAC